GGCGAAAGTGTCCTTCGGGCCAGCCCGGGTTGGTGGGTCCCACACCCCCCCCGGGCCTGGGCTGCATGGCTGGAAGCAGATTTTTGTTTTTTTCCCCCCTCCCCTCGGGCTGGGCTGCATGGTTGGAATAGCTCTAAAAGGAGACCACTCTCCCCTTAGAAAATGATCTTTGGGCTGGGCTTGATCTTTAGTCATGACCTTCCCCTTTCTTACATTTAAATTTGGGTCCAATCCCATGTACAAATGTAAATACACAATATTACAATAATGAGAATATACTTCTCCGTGGACTTAGCTCATTCATTAAGGGTGAACCACGTATATCTTGTCTTCTGTATGTTTATAGCTTGCTCAAATCCTCACACACTTGGTGAAGGTCCTCACCTTCACCTATCATCCATCACACCTCATCACTAAGTTGGCCTCAAAAATGCCGAACCATTTTTGAGCGTCAACACCACTCAAATTAATTTAATTTGACCGATTTAAATAGTTCATACCCTTTTGTGCTAGAAATCTGAATTATAAAGTTAGCAAAGAAATTAAGAATAAAGTTAAAATGAAGACATTTGACCCAAAAAAAAAAAAAAAAGGTTAAAATGAAGACACAGAAAATTCTACAAATTGGCAGATTCATCAGCAGCAAGTGGCACCAAATCTCGACCCCCTACGTGTTGACGCTAGGTTCTGCTGCCAAAGTGGAAGGCTGTTTTAAACACATGGAATATGTCTTTGCATAATAAAATATCTAATTTTGCACAAGTATTCTTTCATATTATTTGGTGGAATGGGGCCGAAGCCCAATTGTTCTTTTATTTATTTATTTTTATTTAATAAATTTTTTTGAGATTGCATTCATAATGCTGGGATTAAAATTCTGAATCTTTTTTTTTATTTTTATAACTTTAATGTTTGCTTGGATTCTCAAGAAAGAAAATAAAAAAAATGTTTGCTTCCGATTTATTATAACTTATAATTATAGTTTTCATAGAGATTCTTATATTTTTATATAACCAATGAGTAAAATTATTATTATGTAAACGTGTTGTCATTCGTCTTTATTGAATTTTATCATGTGTTTGATAATAATAATAATAATAATAATAATAATAATAATAGTAATGTAATTGACTCACTAGTGTAGTGGTTTAGAGCAATTATTTTCCCAAGAAATGTCCTGAGTTTAAGTCATATCGTGTATGTGAGCAGTGGTGGAGCCAGGATTTCACATTAGAGGGAGCTCTTCACAAAATTTTAAAAAGTAATTCGAATAGAAGCGCTCACACACTAACCGGTTAATAAGTTAATGCAATACTAACTACTCGATTTAGCCCACTTCATAATATCATTTCATATTGATTAATAATTTATCAACTCATTAAAATCATAATTGTCTTCAATTTCATATTTTAATATTGTTGAATATTAATCTCATCATATTCACTATTAAAGGTTCAAAAGTTAATAATTTATATTCCAATAGAGAGAAGAAGTACAAAAAAATTTCATAAATCCCAATATTA